AATAACACTGCAGCAGCAGCAGCAGCAGCAGCAGCAGCAGCAGCAGCAGCAGCTTCTCCTCAGTAATCTATAAACCAGTCCCCACAGCAAAGATGCATCTTTATAGGCAGCAGAAGAACAAAAGCAGAGGAATCTCAGAGCCACTTTCATCAGCACCACTGCCATCTGTTTACACATTTTATCCTACGTTGTAAATTACACTTTATAAGCCATTAAGTTGCAATGGGTGATTTAAAAAAACAGCCCGAGGAAAATCAGTCTGACTCAGGGTCACAACTCATTTGAATTAAAAAATCTATTTCCCCACACATTTACCTCTGATGTGACTGGATTTTCAGGAACAGTGACACACACTGTAACACACACTGTAACACAGCTTGTTTTTTTTTTTTTTTGTCTTTCGTTCCGTGTTATTTCTGTCAAATTTGTTCAGTATAAACAGGCGGGGCCTGAGGAGCTCCTACTTTTCGTTTCCTCATTACAGTTAAATTAGTGAAAGTTAATGAAGTTGTCGTTAGTCAGACTGACCTTTTGATTCTGACTTTTAATATTACTGTTAGGAAGCAGAGACGCTGTGGTGTTTGGTGAATGTTCTAATGTGAATCTTCTACCATTCATTTGACCTTCGACCTCAGACTAATTGCCATTTACAAGAGTATCAATGGCAACATGTACCAGTTGCCTAAGCATTGCTCAGGGGAACTGTATTTCAGCAGGTGCTGCACTGACACAAACAAATCAAACTCCTGACAGGACGGGGTCTTAGTCCAGGCTTGACAGGAACACACACCCTCAGAAGTCCAGACACTGCTACATACCATGTTATGGCTGATCATTCTAAACCAATCACATTGGCCGTGCAGTCTTGACATTAATGTACGTCAGTTTTCAGGACCTTGACCTCTGTGGTTGTCAATGACAGCTGTGAGGTATTTATATCCCGTGTCTTGTCTTGTGTCGTTTCCAGTGTTCTCAGTAATGAACACGGTCCAGAGGCCTACGAACTGCATGTTTCAGTCAAGGACTACTGCTTTGCCCGTGAGGATCGCATCATCGGCATGACGGTCATCCAGCTCCGTGAGCTGGCTGACAGCGGCAGCTGCTGCGCCTGTTACCCGCTGATCAAGAGCATCACCATGGATGAAACAGGTCTCACCATCATGAGGATACTGTCGCAAAGGACCCACGACGAGGTGGCCAAGGAGTTCGTGCGTCTGAAGACAGACACGCGCTCGACAGAAGAAGTGTCGTAATGTGCAGCAAAGAAAAAAAAAATCAAGTGAAAAAGCAAAAAGCAGTATTATAAAGAGTTGTGTTGTCCCGAGTGAGTGACGGAGAGAGACGGAGGAGGAGAAGGAAAGTAGCAGCATTTAGCCCATCAGGGTGGACGCAGCAGGAGAGTTAGACCGGCCAAAGACAAGCAGGAGTCAGGGGGGAGGCAGAGAGCCAAGAGTGGGTGAGACAGACAGACAGAGAGAGAGAGAGAGAGAGAGAGAGAGAGAGAAATGTAATTGTTTGTTTTGTGCATGTGCGTAAAACATCTGTTGGAATGTTCATTTTAACTCTACAGTATGTACAAGTGTTTACTTACCGTATGCTTACTATTAAGTACTATATTCTACAAGTTATGTTAATGAGACATGAAATACCTTTTGTACAACATTTAGTCTTTTTGAACGAAATTTGTTCCAATAAAGTGCCAAACCAGTGGAAAAAAGAAGAAAACAAATGTATATGAATTATGGTGAACTTAGTATCTTTGATTTTTTTCATCTTATTTCAGTCCATTGTACGTCACCTGACCGTGTGGCACACCCCTTGGTTTCGTGTTCTTCCACACAGATCTGTTCTGTGCCCCTTCTTTTCTCAGTCATGTCTCTTCCGTGAATCCACGTAGTGACCGATGAGCAGGGTCCTGACCCCTCGCCTTTAAACCATTTGTATCGAAGGTCGACCAGAAAATAGAGGCGTTTTTCTAAATGGCGATGACTGCTACATAAACCTTCATAGGTGTTTGTAATTTTATAACCATGACAACAGTGACGACGGTCTGAACAGAAAGGATGGAAAAAATCTTTCTTTCATTTGGCTACTTATTCTTGAATTTGCTCTTTTACGTTGGGCCTTTTGGAACCACCACTGTGAACATGAGCTCTGGAAGGCACTTCTTACCACACTGCATTTTGATATTATTGATTCATATTTTTCTGACAAACTGCCAAAGTTTCTTCAAACACTTGTACAAAGGCGATCTGTAACATTTATGAGGATTACTATGTACTTGTACATCATTTACTTCTCCATTGCTTACTGTTGGATTGTTGTCAGGCAGTGCTAAAATGTTATTTTTCTTATTTCCTGTATAGCAGTTTGGAGGAAGAAAAAAAAGAGATAAACATTGCACATGTTTCTTCACACGTAAGTTATGATTATCTCTCACAAAAGTTATTTTTCTTCATAAAGAAAGAGTCTAACATTTGGTAAATATGCAACATTCCTATGTATTGCACTGATGGCGAATTGTATGTCATGTAAATATATTTAGTGAGATATTGTACAAAAGTCTACTTTTCTTCAGTGTGCATAAAGTATGTGCAAATGTGTTAAAATAATCTCTGCGTTAATTTCCCCTTTAACACCTGAATGCAAATATTTATTATTTGGGAGGATTTTTATAGTAAAAGTGTCATGTTCCAGTGACTGATGTAGTGATAAACGTATGGTTTGAATTAACAACAACAAAAAAGAGACACATTTGAAGAAAATTACAAGAACAAAAAAAAAGCTCGTGTGCAAGTGTGTTTAACCTGCAATAGCCTTAAACAGATGTATGTGGTCAGTTGTGTCCAGTGTGACTGCATCACAGACAAATCACTTCTAATATTTAAAGGAAAAGAAATCATTAAACAGGAGATTGTTTTGCTACTGTTCACATCTTTGTGCTGTGTGTATCCCTCCGTGTGGTGACCAGTGCAGCCAACAGAAGTTAGGTGTCGTGTTGTAACATCTCAGCAGTGTCTGACCAGTGGTGGACAGTTTAAAAAGAAAAAAAAAAAAAGAAACTGAATGGAATTGTTAATGTTTGAATATTGACTCTTTTACTTCTTGCTCGTTCTTGTCCAACTCATCCACCTTTTTTTTTTTTTTGCTGTTAACCCAGATGGACCGTGGTGGCAGCATTCATCCATTCATCACAGTCACTACTTCACCCAGGCCTGTTAAGGTCCCTCCACAGCTGCACTTCATCTTCACATTCCATCGGAGCCACACAGGATTCTGTCCACTGACTGGTAAACTGATTTTGATGTGCAAAAAGTGTGCATTTCCCTTTAACTTTCTGGAAACACCGTCGCAAAGTCACACACATTTTCTAACATTAAACAGGTTGTTTTACGTGGTCCATGTTTGTGAGCCTGTATCAGCCAACGCACATCAGACCCGTGACTCCAGACTCAGTCTGACGCCACACTGTTTAGAACCACATTTTAATACGCAATTTATAAATAATAAATAAATACATATTTTTACGGTTCTGAATCACTCATTTTCTCCAGGACTGTTGTGTGTACAGTATCATCATGTATATATATATATAGAGAGAGAGAGAGTTTTTATTGTATTCCTCGGTTCCAAGGCTCCAAAGTCTTAGTCGGATTCTTCTGATGTTTTTATGTCGTAGATTACGATGTTACCACCGTGTTAGCGACGCTGAGTCACACAGGTCCTTATGTTCATCATGTGTCTCATCTCAGTGTAGACATGAATGTGAACGTTAGACGTGGAGCCTGTCTGTCCTACAGTGGGGACACTGACGTTCAGGATTTAGTTTGGAGTTTGGACTGGAGTTTGTCAGCTCTCAGTATTAGTCCTGACACTTGAAGGTGTGGCGACGAAATTCATGAAACTAATGTGAAGAAGTGTTGTTGTTGTTGACGACGTTTTACTTTTGACATCAACACTTTTTGAAGCAGAAACTTCCTGAAATCTGAATATATTTCCTCAACAGACCAGACTTTTTAATGACACCAGCAAATCTAGAAGCAGGACTTAAAGGACCTTAAAGAAGTGAGTGAGTCTTCATCGAAGGTAAGAAGACACCAAAACAACCACTGCTGAATATTAGATTTAAAAGGATGAAGAAGGTGTTTTGTTTCTGTTGAAAGTCCTCTGTGAGATGCACTTCTGGTTCTTCTGGTTCTGCAGCTGCACAACTACACCAGCAGTGACCGCCACAACCTTGACCTCTCATTTGCATATTGTCAACCCCTTAAGGAATTTCTGGTCACATTTATCAGGGCAGACTGGTGGTGGATAAATCACAATATCTGGCAGTTAAAGAGAATCTGACGACTTTGTTTCATGGTCTGGGTTCCACTCCGTCTCTGTCTGTCCTTCACTCTCTCCAATGTCTGTTTGTTTTGAACACATCAACAAAAACCACATGGAATGATTGAAATGAATACACACTAAACGTCCCTGTGTAAATAATAGATAATATGACATGCAGATGGAATAGCAGTGCAGTGAATAGTCTGTGTCTCTGTGCAAATAATGAGGCAAAGAGTGTGTCCATCTGGGCCATGATCTATATGTGTGTGTGTGTGTGTGTGTGTGTGTGCGCAGGCTGGTCAGTGTGTGTAACAAGCCCACAGACATAAAGCCTCCTGTCCTGGAGCTGAGATTAACGGAGCTCAGAGCAGTCGAACAGTCGTTGTTCATCCAGACCTGAAGTTGTTCTTTAAGACACGTAACCAGACTCAACCTGCTGTGTCAATGTCAGGAGTTAAGAGTTAACTTTAAACACATTTTCAATAATTATATTATTCTTATATATATATATAAATGTATTCATACAATTTCATACAAATAAGAGATTTAATTCATATATAAAAACATACAACAGTTTTATATAAGAAGAGTTACCTCCACTGATCGACTCTTTGAATCATTTATGTGGTGGTTCTGAGCTCTGCACAGGACTTCAGTTAACAAGCAGCCTTGTTTTCTGTTTGGTCTCCTGTGTATTTCCAAGGCACTGTATTTTTGCCCCAGAAAACCTGGTGGAGAAACGTATGTTTCCACGTCTCTCTGCAGCAGGCTGATCACATGCAGGACGACGCCTCCAGAATCCATTTGTGTTTCTCACACATAAATCACCAGCATGATTTTAAAGACAACAAAGGACACGTTTGGCATCGTAAGCATCTATTCCGTTCAATAATTCTCACAAAACCATTTTTCTCTGCGGTTGATGAATGTTTTCCTCTGGATTTATGAACTTTTACTCGAGCGGCGGTGGATTTTTGACCAGGTTTTTAACTCGACCCTGGAGGAAGTGGAACAGTGAATAAAGTAAAAACATTTCAGTCAAACACGTACAACTTAAAGCAAACGTCACACTGATGTGGATCAACCCAAAATTTGTTAAATTTACAGCCATGAAATCAAGTTCTTTTTAAAATATTCTTTTGCGTTGGTTAAAAACGCGATGTTGTTTTTTAACTAAAAAATCTGATCAAATTAAACCTGACGAAGCTCTTGATAACGATTTATTTAATTTTTTGAATCTGTAAAAATGCATTAGAAACATTTGCTAAAGCACTTTTTTTTAATGATGACATTTTGGTGACACATCGTAGCTGTAATATCTGAAGCAGACTTTGGTCCACACTGCCATTGTATGAGGCTCAGAGAGAGTTGGCCTTGAACGACATGATGTATGGGCTGTTTCAGCGCTGCAGCCCACTGCTGCTTAATAATAGACCTGTTTCTCTGACAATAAAGCCAAGCTGCCAGCATCACATTTACTGTGGACAATAATCCATGAGCAGCCGTGCTTTAAGGCTGGTGAGAGCTCCGAGTGCTGCTGATGCTGGGGCTGTGAGAGGAGGAGGAGGAGGAGGAGGAGGAGGAGGAGGAGGAGACTCTAGAGGCCAGGCCATCTGTTCACGTGTAATTACAGCTTTGGGCTTCAGTTAGGTTTCAATCCAGAGACCTTTGACCAAACTGCAGCCTGGCTAAGAGGTAAACGCTGCCTCTGTCTCCTCCGCTGCAGCTCACGTCAATTTAATTCTGACGTTAACAGACAAATGCTGAGAGGATTACGTTCCCGGTGTGATTTTTTAATCAACTCTGGTGACATATTATAAAACATACAGCTCACGTGTTGGTTTCCACAAACCATTCAATCTCCTGTGGAATATTCTGAGATAGTTTCATGGACATCCAGCCCATAATGTTGGTTACGCCACATTAGCGTCTGTGTTGCACCAGGGTCAACCGACAGGTTAAGTGTAAGTAATAAGGCTTTAATGGCTGCGCTGTCGGGTAGTTTCACCAACAACGTCACATGACTTCACGCAGTGGAACATAATCTGATACGCAGGCTCTCAGCCATGACAGTCAAAATGACAACGTGGCCATTAATCAGAATCAGTGGAACAACAGCATCTTCTAGATTCACGCTGCGTACGATGCCTGGAGCTGCTCGCCCACGTACGGCTCCACGGCGTTCTCTGCTGGTGTGTATTTGCGTGCAGGTGGACGTGTACTTTCCACAGTGAAATCATTAGGTTTAAAGCAGCAGCACGTCAACAGAGGCCGTTATCAGCAGCTGCAGTTTAAAACGTGCCGTCGATGTCCAGTTGTTCTGACAGTTGGTCTTCACGACCTGCTGCTGTTTCTCTCCAGTTTCGTCCATATGACAGATCAGGTCATCATTCAACTACTGAAATGGACGCGTCCCAAAAGTCATTCTAAAATCTAAGAGCAGTAGTTGTCATTCATTTGGAGCAACTCTTTTTGCTGTGAATAATTGGTCTCACCACTTATATTTCAGGTAATGTTAGAAGATCTCATTATGATTTGTGTACGAGGCTAATTTAGTCAGGATTATTATTTTTAATTCACCTTTGGACAGATAATAATCTAGATTTGTATCAACCAACTATACAGGACCTTGTCTCCAGTCTGTGAGACCCACGGTCTGAGGTGAAAATTAAATTAAAATTAATTTTTCAAACATTTTTCATCAGAATTGTTTAGTTTTTGAACAAAAACAACACAAAAAATTCACATTTTGACAGAAAACTTTATACACAAATATTTATAAAAATGTTCTCTAAATGCCCTAATTTTATGAGAAACATGCAGGAAAAGGTAACATTTTTTGAAAACAAATTCAACCTTTTTTCATCAAAATGGTTTAGTTTTTGAACAAAAATGACAAGAAAAATTGGCATTTTGACAAAAAACTTTATACACAATTATTTCTAAAAATGTTCTGTAAATGCCCTAATTTTATGAGAAACATGCAGGTACAGATAACATTTGATCACCACTGCAAATGGCTGAACATCTGCATCAGTGGAAGAAACTACCAGTGAGATTAAATTTAATAGTGTGACTGTTCTTCTGACAAACTCTGAGATTAAAATCTGGACTAATGTCACGTTTCTTGTCCCGCCTTCAGCTGCTTCTTCGTAGCCCTGTCCTCTGCTACAGTAGGGGCCTTTCTGCACGTGGCCGTCATCCTGTTTATTTTTATTCAGCATTACTTGGACCCGAAGATTCTACGGACTGCTCCACAGTTTGAAAGTGAGTTCAAACGTGTGTCACACTAACTCACACACACATACACTACTTTTCGACGGGTACCTTGCATTGACATTTGTATTCCCGCTTTTCTTATGAAAAATTTGAAATATTCATAAAAAATATT